TAATTATTAACAGTTAAAATACTATATAAATCTTTGGCCGAATATATATTTAATAAGTCTTATATTTAATTTACAAATATTTTTAATATTTTACAAACATTTTTCAGAATTTACTATAATTAATTTAGTTAGTAAATAAAAGTTTTTTGAGAAATTTATAATTAAATTGATCACAAATTCATTATTTTAATTCGCTGAATCTTTTTTTACTTAATATGTATTCATATCGCTAAATCTTTTTACTTAATATGTATTTATCATCAATCATATGATTATATTGTGCTATAATGTCAATAATGAAATAAATTTTATTTAATATATTTAATAACCAAGTATAGATAATTTCTCAGTATAGATCTAATTTATACCGGTATGGATTTTAATCTATACTGGTATGAATTTGCATCAATTGTAAAACCATATATTCCATACATGAAAATCCATACCATACATGTTTTCGAACTACTCCTGAACCATGACCTATTGCTTTGCAATAAAGCTTATAGCTTAATAGGGTTCGCGGCTTAACCACTGAGCAAGGAGTGCTAATTCTCTTTATTGCCTTATCAATTTTTATTTTTTTTTATTTTTTATTTTAAGTGTGATAGTTTCGCAAAATCTTTATTGATAATATAAAATATAAAAAATTACATAAAACATAAGATACGAAAATCTCTATCTAAAATAATAAAAAATACTACTCTAAATCAAAACTGACCCTACACTTTCCCAGAATCAAATATAAAAAAGAAATTTTACATCATCACCTTCCAGTAAACTGACCAGAGAAAGGAAAGGGCTTGGTTCCTACTGCACCAAAAATTTGACCAATGCAATCCTAAGTGGACCATCTTAGAAATTAGATCAGTGGAAGAAAAGTTAGCAAATGATGAGTGAAACTGGTAGCCAGACGCCTCTGTATGAGCACGTTTAAGTACATCCATTATATTATGTGATTTTTCAAAGTTTTTGAAGGCTGAGCATCTATCCATCCAAATGGACTGTGTTTGAGTAAATATGAAATGCATAAAGTTTGAGATTGCCGCCAATGTAGATTCCTTTGTGGTGAGATGCGAATGTATGAAATTATACAAGTCGAAAGGAATAATTCCTTTGATCAAATCCACAAAAGTGAAGGATGTTGCTGATGGTAAAGACCAAATATCTAATGTCTTCAAAGACACCGCAGTATCGAGTTAAAGGGCTTCGACTAAGTGAAGTTTCACATCGTTAATGAGTTGAAGTATCTTCGATTTTCTGGACGAACAAGTCCATATGTGATTAAAGTCTTCATGTTCTGAGTTACAACAGAAACAGAGCCAAGATTTATCATAAAGTGAAGGGTGTCGTTTATAAAGAACCATTATTGTAGGAAGCATTTCAAGGACACATTGAAGTTTTTTCATTTTAATCAAAAACATCTCAAATGTAGTGAACGAAAGTGCAGCACTATCTGAAATATAGAATGTTTTTTTTTTATTACAGTTATGGTGATTGTTATGTGATGTTATGACGAGAATCTTTATAAACAATATGTTGGCTATATCCCTAGGTCTCCGCCAGCTCATATATCCATTGGCAACCCACACCGATAAACTGGCCCAGATATTGCCTTTGTCAGCGGAATTAAGCCTTTATAGAGGATTTGACACCCCCTCCGGTTACCACCTATCCGAGAACTACATACCACTATAGGACTGAGAAATCCATTACATCATATATCTTGCTATGGTATACTCTTATCTGACTAATGCCGCAGGGTTTATGGGATTATTACCACAAGATTTGCCCAAATGGTGAACTAGCTGGGTGATGATCTGGCCATATCCACAAATATCTTAGGAATCAAACCTAATCTCAGATCCAATGATATGCTCGATTAGACGATGCTGCAGCGTGCAATGAAGTTTATTATCACCATTGATCTAATCTACTAATTTCTGGTCAATCACTTCTTTAATTGATAAATATATTTACTTATGTATATAAGCCTATGGAAATAAGGACCCCTGCCAGGTAAGAAGGGAGATTGTATCTGTTACAGACTAATTAGCAAATGCTAAGTTTCTGTCGATCCTTGGCTTTATTTGCTTTCCCATGTTCTAACGCCATGTAGTATTTAGACATGATCAATGTTGATTGATGAATCGATCAATCAGAATCTAACGCATATTAGTATATATGCCTACTTGTTCAGTTACAAAGAAATTCCTTATGGAAAATCATACAGTTTTATGTATCGCATGATACTTGAACTATAGCCTATTGCTGTGTAATGAAACTTTAGCTTAATAGGGACTTGCAGCTTAATTACTGAGCAAGGATTGCTAATTCTCTCTGAAATATAGAATGTTGTTGCAGCCCAAATATATATTTTTAGTGTAATTTTTTATTGGCCAAGTAAGTTTATTGTGGCGTAACATTTTTTTCATCATCAATTACTCAAAATTAATTTATAGTCTCAGAACCCACTTTTAATAGATCAGCTCCCATATATATCCACCACCACCATTATCTAAAACTCCTACTTGTATAAAATCAGAACTAAAAAAACTCATTGAAAATACTAAAGATCAGCTTAAAATATAACTGCACAATAATTAGTATCAGTATAACTTAATTTATTTTATTATTTCTTTAAAATTTCGTTTATTTAGTTTATTTATAACTTTTTTTTAATAGGTTATTTGCTTAAAAGTGTGTATAAAACAAATATAATTTCTAAAATTCATGCATTTCTTAATAATATTGATAAACTTCAATATTTAATTGTACAAGTTTTAAACTATCAACATCCATATGGTCAAGAAATACTTGGCGTAATATATGATTTTCATTAATATACTCAAGAAATAAAGAATTATATTCAAAAGATTAATAAGTAACAATGTTAATTATCTTTTATTTTATAATATAGAATAACTTAATATGTAATTTTAGTTTTTTTAATAATAGTCATATAATGATTTTATGTATAACTAATAAACAAGTGTCTGAATTTAAATATTGGAAGTTGATCTTTCATTCAAACGTGTTCATGGCAATATTAATGAATTGGAATTTAATGCATATAAAAATGTTTCTAAGATAAGTAAATTTAACTAATTTATTAATTTTTTATTTAGATTATTTTATTTATTTTAATCAATTTCTTTTTTATAAGTTTTAATACTTTGTAGGATTTTTACTAATATTACAACTAAAGAAGCATATCAACTAATGTTTGAAGTCTTTTTTGAGATAATTGAGAAGTTATCTAATAAACCTGCTCATTTTCATCATATACATAATCATGGTTATGTATGTATATTAGCTGATTTAGATCAAACTCAAGCATGGTTATTAGGAAAAGCTATAAAAAAATGGATCCTATATGTAAAGCTAAAGAACATTTGCGTTATGTATTTAAATCATGTCATATTCATTATAAAAGGTAAGAATATTATATTTTATAAATAAATACAATATAATTTTTGCTAACAATTTTATAATTTTATAGAAAAGTCAATTACTATTCTTATTGCTCAGATACTAAACATGATTTGATTGTAATTTTTAAAGCAAAATCATTAGAAGAAATTTATCAAATATTTGAAAAAATCAAAATGCGTAATGAAGATAGCATAGATAGTAAATATGCAATTTTTTATATTATAATGTATTATTTATTATTAATTTATACAATTAATTTATATTTTAGATTGGCTAGCATACATTCAAACCTCATGGGTTTTTGGTTCCTTAACATTTCATTATTCCTTAATGTCTTATGAAGCTTGGCAGATGACACCATTTGATACTAATATTGCTGAAAGTACTCATGCAATGATTAATCGAATAGGAAAATCATTAAAATTAAAAACAGCAATATTAAGGTAATTTTTTTCTGTTTGCAATAAATTTTTTATTATTGTATTTTAGAGGATAGAAGTATGATGAGTGCATTTATAAAAGAATGCAAATACATTAGCAAATAAGTGTTCCTATGTCAAGTAAAGATAAAAGTGATTATGGAAAAAAAATACAAGCAAATCGAAGATTAGGTAAAGTATTAAACATTTTGTGATTTTTATTTATTATATATAATATATATATTTAATTTTCTAAAAACAATTAGCTGGAAAATTGTTTGAGAGAACAATAAAATCAACTAAAGAAAAACAACATATTCCAAAAAAGACAAGAATAAGCATCATTGATGAGAAAGATAATAATACAATAGAAGTTGATATAGTAACTCATGAACTTGAAATTGAAGAGCGCAAAATTACATTAGAAGAACGAAAAATGCAACTCAAACAAAATGAAATTGATGTAAAGTTAAAAGAATTGCAGCTCAAAAAAATGGAACAGGAATTGAATAAAAAAAATGGGAATATATTATTGTGTGCAAATGGCAAACTTGCTTAGCATTACTCAAGGAGTAACTAACAGCTTTAATAAATACAATTGTAACATGCAGAATAATAGGAAAATTTTCTAACGATTTCAAGCGCATATTTACTTATAAATTTTGTTCTATATAAAAAAAAAATTCATTTTAAATAAAGAATATATATTTTTTTACTTTTGATTTACTATATATGAATGCTAAGTATAAATATAATATTTTATTACTAATTTTTACTTAAGACTATTATTAAAATTCTTCAAGCGAACGTAAATGAATATTGAATATCATGTATATAGGTCAACGGGTCTGACATAATTTTAAATATTTGCAATACAAGTATGATGTTTTAGATGTATAGTTGCGTATCTTACCTGCAACTTTAGTTGTATGTATTACTACTAGAAAACAGGTACGATATGATTGACAAATGTATTAATCATACCAGCACAATGTTAATCGTAACTATAATTAAACAATCATACCGTAATGGATATACATTAACGTAACATAGCCATTTAAAGAATACCGTATTTATAAACGTATTAACCAGCATTAAAAATACTGTAGTTTAAGAAAGCAGTTAATTGAAGGTAGAAAATAAATGTATACTTAACGATTTAAAATATTTTGAACGTGGGATTCCAAACCCATCTAAGCTTCAGAAATTATGTTATACTTCGTAGTTCATGATTTATTACGTGTAATTACATGAAACATAGCACTTCGGCATTTTAGAGAATCGAAGTGTTGCAGTATTTATTTCTGTATTTATTCAGTATTTCTTTATTTTTTGAAGCTCAACAGATTTACTTTGATTGATTATCAAATTTGTCTAGAAATATGTACTGTAAACCTAAACATTTTCGAAGTACATTGTCGAAGTACTCTGAAGGTTTACTGAATATCGACTATTACCGGCACTATGAAAAAACCAGATATTACGCTTTACAATATAATACTTCGCAAATAAACAGATCTGCAAGATACATAACATAAAAATTTTTTGATGAATACTGTACGGATTGGATTCACTGACACACTTAAGTTTTTAATTTTACAACTATTAGGTAAATTTTGTACTATAAGTTTCATTATTTTATCAAGCAAATTAATAATAAATAGCTTCCGGGTTTCGTGTAGTTTTAGGATTTTGAATATAGAATTAGGGACCATAAAGAAGTTAAGGAGTTTTGATTTTTCAGAGAATGATATGATTTCTTATAGCTGTTTAAACGAAAATAGGTGAGAATAATCCTGTACATATCAAACAGAATATTAATAAAGCCGAGGCGCAAGCAATTACGTATCGAAATCTCATGGAAGTATCAAAAATCATCTGAACATCTTTACAATTCCCAGTGTCTATTTTATCTAGTTGGATAGTATAGAAATAAGGTGGTTTCCTTGGGAATAGTCCATAAAATACGTAAGGCGATTAAAAGATTCCCTATTAGCGAAATATATAGCTCAACAATTATCTAACGAAATAGTTCTAAAATATATATTTATTATAAAATTTTGCATTATCAATCAGCAGAGAAACAAAACATTCTTTGATTATCCTGATTATCCCAGGAGGCATATTTATATGAAGATTTCACGGATGGACATGAAATCGCTTATTTATAATGAGAAAGCTTAACACAGCTTATTTTTTCCACTTTGAATTTTTAATATTTTAAAAGTCGAGAGATATTTGCATGAAATAAAACTATATCAGATACATAATATCTTTCATTGAAGGTTTGTCATAACAAGTTATTTTAACTATATAGTTAAAAATTCTTATTAAAATTGATCGGCTCTTTTATAAAATTGTTTGCTTTTTTTAAAATCACTTTGAATATCAACCTGTTTTCTTTCTACATTTTCTTAAAACCATCAAAATCATGATTTTAAAAGTCAATTGCCTCGATGAGGTCTTAAAAAAATACGAACTCAAAATATTCAATTGCAAAATATTCTGTAATTTATATTTATTTTTTCTTAGATCTACTCAAATTATTGTGAGACATAAAAGTTGTTCTAGGATTTAGGATCTGTAGAAGAAACATATGAATAATATTCGATCCCATCCCATAGCAAGCCGCTACAATTTAACGTCTAAATTTTTTCGAGTATTTTAGTTAATTTATAGAAAAAAAAATTTCAAAAATAGAAATCAATTTAATAGTAATAAAAAGAATACCGAAAATCTTATTGTTATGGCATTTTCTTGGCCTTATATGTAGAAATTTATTATTTTCTTCTATCAATGTATAAAAAACTGCGTAATAAAGTTATGTACTGATTTTATATATTATTTATATACTTATGTACTTAATATTTATTTATTAAAAAAATATTAGAAAATTATTGGTTATTTATGAATATGCTGACGTTGCGGTGATAATTATTAGAAACATAGACTTACTTAAGAAGGTAAATAATACAATTGCGTTTCAGTTGGCAGTATTGTATCGTGCACACAACGAAGAAATTATGTATCATGATTTGGTAATCTTGTATGAACAATATTTTATACTATACTGAAGGATGTTAGTTATTAATAATAGAATGTATTTTTTACAACATTCTTTCCTTATGTTAATTCACTAATGCATTATTACCTAGCAGACTTCTGATTATTTAAAAGAATAAAAGCAATAAACTAAACAGTCAAAAGTTTTGGAGTAATTCCTTATTTTGACAAAATATTTTGATAGACGAAGTGCTGGCTGTCAATACATTGTCATTGTCACAATATAAGAAGAGTTACTTACAGCGTACTAATATCTTTTTTTAATTTGAAATGTGTAATTATATTAAAAATGTTGATCATTTTTGGATGATTTAAATACAATCTCTGTTAGCAATGTCGCTTTGACTAACAGTCAATTAATTCTAGTGTCACGTCCAGTACTGTATACAATTTAACAAGTCGAGTAGACAAAGGAATACTGTAAAATCTATAAAGCAAAGATGAATTTATAACAATTGCTTTCTGCGCAATAATATGCATAAATTTACTTTGGCATCAAGACTTAGATAAAATTTATTTGTAAAGCTTACAAGCAATTAATCTTACAGTATTAGTCCTGATTTATATAAATTCATGATAATGATTGAGATTAAATGCATAGATTTAAATTTAGTTACATTAAATAATGATGCGATGTCAAATTTGTAAGGAATTTCATAATCTGTAAAACTTAAACACAATAAATTTGTAAATGACTTTAAAATTTTATTACAAAAGCACTTAGTATATGTAAATAAAAAAATAATAAGCGTATATTTATAAATAAATAGTACAAGAACACATAAATTTTTCTTAATTTTATTCATTCTTTTGTTTCTTTAATAGTGTCTGTTGTATTCATTATAAATTGAAAAATCTCCATTTCTTCAATAGTATAGTTCTTTGTATCCACAATATTATTTTCATAATGAGATTGTTTGCATGTGACATCTTTGTTATCAATAACCAAATCACCATTTCCAAAATTTAGAGCTTCATTTCGAAAACTCGATTCATATATTGCATAATAGCTATTCACAACACGACTAATCATAAAATTTTTAAAATCGTTTCCATCACCTAAAGAAAAAATAAAACTTTCGGTAGTACTATAATATCGATATCCTAATGCTCTTTTAAATATCGATTTAAAACTAATACCTAAAGGATTATATCCACCAACTATCGTTCCATCCTCTTTAGTTTTAATGATCACGATAGCTGCTCCCTGTTCATCGCATTTACTACGTATATTGTAGTTACTAAAGCCATCTCTACTTCCACGATAAATAAGGTTAAAAATAAATTCACTATCCTCCGGAATTTTTGCGTTAGAATCTTTTCTTAGAACCCAGTTAGCAAGTACACGTGAATGTTTTGGCTTAATGATTAACGAATCAACAGTAAATTTTAAATTTCGAGAAGCCAATTTATTTTGAATAGGTTTAGTATTTGTCATATAGAATGGCATAATTTCTTCGAAGAGTGCTTCAGGTAAAACTTTCCTAAAAGGCCAAACATTATCGTGAAAATTATTTGAAGAAATGTCAAAGAATCGAATATGTGATATAAATTGATTCAAAGTACTTTTTAAAACCATAATATCATTTTCACTCCAACTACTTAAATTGGTCGACTTGTTTCCTTCTATTCCCGAAGTTTGAGCTATACCCCATTTAATAAGATAACCCCATAATTCAATTTCATCAATTTGTAAATCTTCTCTTTTGACTAATCCAAGTAGAATACTTTTTTCTAATGTTGGAAAGTTTGGTGAATCAAAAAGAGGTTCAGGATCATCACAAATAATTTTTAAACAATAATTTTGAAGATATTCACAGATTTCAAGTTGGAAAATGGTGTTAATGACCTTAAGAAAATTTTGTTGTAACCATTCGGATTCATTTTTAATCAAATATTCTTGCAAAAAAGTAACCAATTCATCAAGAAGTAATTCATCGGATGCTACGATAAGATCAAGGATATCAGAGCCATCTTTTTCGTTCAAATCAAGTTTGCCAGCATATATATATCTAAAGAAGAAAAAGTAAATTATCTTTAGTCAATATAATCATTTGAGGATTAATAAGAGATCGCTCTATCTTGACGAAGGTTTCAAATTTAGGGGATAAAATGCGCAAAATGTTGGCAAGAAATTTAATAACTTCTGTCAAGTTTCTAATTACTTTTATAAGGTCTTATCAACTTTTGGATTTGAAAAAAATTTCAGAAAAATTTACCTAATAATCATATCAAAAATGATTGGAGAAATATTTGGTTTGTTAAATTTAAATACATTATATTTCTTTTTAGTCCAATTCTGCGAGAGGGCATTTTTAAAATAAGGTGATCGAGACTTCAAGATAGCTGAATGTACACGAAATTCTTTAATATTTGGATTTTCTCCAACATTGATAATGACATCATAATCGTCTGCATCATCAAGTAATTGTGACAAGTTTTGGGACAATCTAGAAAAATATTCGAAATCCATTAAAGAATTTTTAAAGTAAGGTTAGCAGATTTAAATGTAAGAAAAGAATAATGAAAAATTCCATTTATGAGCTCTTATAGAAACTTTTGTTTCACAAAATTTCTAATGGTACAATTGATCTACAGTATGATCATATAATTATAGTTTTTTATTAAGGTATTTTTTTTTTTTCTTTGAAAAAAATTTTTTTTTTTATTAAGAACGAATGCAAAATCAATTACCACTATTAATGTCATATTGTATATGGAAAATCGGTACGGTACAATAATATAAAGTACCGTACCGTACGTTAATCAAAATATCTCAGTTGTAGTCGTACAAATTCATGTGCTTAATACTAAAATTAATCAAATGACGCAAGCTAAAATAACAGATGTATTCCAAAGTGAATTACTTGAATTTAATGATAGCAGAAGAACCCTTTGTAAATCAAAATGTAATAAAAGTTAGGTACCGTACTGTATATATAAACGCTTTCTATTATAGGACCAGTACGGTACGGTACGGTGTTTTGTCCGAATATATGGTCGTACCGTACTGGTTTTCCTACTCCCTAAAATAATTTAGAGTCGGTAATAACCTATTAAAAAATGGTTAATTAACCTGTTTAATGTAATGTAACCCAGGCCGGCACTAAAAATATAGACAGAGCTAACAAATTTTTATAATCAAAAAAGTAACTTGATTCTGGTCGAAAATTAAATTTTGACTGAACTTAAAATACTTACTATAATTGATTAAACCGAGGTTAAAATTAATTTTTTTTAACCGGTTAAAAGAAAAACGTTTGCTGTAATCATTACATAACCAAGTATTAGTTTAAACATATGGCTAACTAATTTAGAAATAAATACGTAATTTGACTTATCAATTTCATAGAGTCATACGATCACCCGGGTCTATCAGGGTCGTGCAAAAGTATGACCCTAACCCGAAGAGTTGATTTTTACGATCCTAAACCGACTCGAAAATTTAATCGGTTTGAAATACTACAAATTATATTGAAGGGTGGGAACTAAAAAGTTGCAAAATAATAAAATAAGGAAGTACAAACAGATGAATAAAGTTTTAAAAAAAAGTATGCTAATTGCTACACCTATAAAGAAGTAATTCCATCATTATGTTAATTTTCTAGAATTACCTGTTATAAATTACATGTAAAGAACATGGATTTGCAGATATCCGTAAATGTCATGTCACATGTGAAGTGTATGTATAAATTAAATTAATTCTTATCTGTTATTACGCTAAAATATTATTAGCAAATTTGTTCAATTTATTGAGCTGAAAATTCTAAATAAAAAAATATATCATTTTAAATTGGCTTTATTTATAAATTTAATCATTTTGGCGCAGTTTCGTCGTCATTTAATCTTCCATAAAAAAATTAAAATAATTAAATACCGGATGTTACGGATGTTACAAAATATTCGAATTATTTGTGAAGATATCCGTTTTCTTTGTTCACGACAGATTGGATAAACACGGATACAGATATTCGGATCTAACACTTTTAATGACAACAGAAAATATTAGCAAAGTTTATAAATTGTGAAAGTGCTATCTCTTATAAAATTTTAAACGGTTTTATAATAAACAAAGATTTTGATTCATCCTAGTTGAATTTTAAAAATACTGGACATGCGAATCTACTTTGTTCAACCTATAACTTCATTTGCTACACTAGTTTTCGAAATTGGCTATTATGAGTGATGATCAACAAAAACACAAATCACAAATCACGTGATAATTACAAGAATTTTTGAATCGCGTTCTTTATATTTGTCATAATGTCAAAGAAAAAAAGTACACTCAAGAATGTAATAAATTGGCACTTGTTTTTCTGTGGCAAATATTCTGAATTAAATACTGATTTGAGAAAAAAATTATGAAATACAAAAAAAAAGAATTTATTTATATAAAATAAATTTTTCTCAAAAATCGAAATTTGGAAGCTGTGATATAACACTATTTAATATGAGCAATAAGTATATAATTTGTATTTTTTATTGATTCATATATATTTTTAGCTTATAAGAAATGTTAATTTTAAATATTTAATTGCATATATTTTAATGAAATAGCATTAAATTCCTGTGTTAAAATTATAATTTAAAATCATATGCACATAACATATTTAATTTTGCATAAGTCTTAATTAAATTCTTATATTAAAAATATATAATTCAGGATCATATGGAAGCTGATCTATTAAAAATGGGTTATGAGACTAGTAATTTGATTTTAAGTAATTGATAATCAAAAAATAGTTATGCTATAATAAACATACTTAGCCAATAAAAAATTGCACTAAAAATAGTATTGAGTCTAATCAATTAATAAGGTGATACTTTAATTTTATATATATAACAATTTATTATAATAATTATTTTTACAAATATTAAATTATTTTAAAAATAATGAAACTATAAAATATATAAATTTTTTTATTAAATCCGCTTTGTCAAAAATACTGTTATATCAATTTCATAACATAAGAGATTTTGCTATTAAAATCATACTCTGAAGCATTTTATATATGTTGATTATTTGTCGATTATTGCTAAAATTTACATCAATCATTTCTATAAAATCTAATTTTAGATATTTGATAAGCAATTTTGCTGACCAAATTACTTGTTTTATTAATAAACTAATAGTTTTTAAAATTTAACCAAATAAAATTTATTAATATACTATAATATGAATCAAAAATCTTATTTTTTGTTAAAAAGTTCCTGTAATCCATTTTTAATAGCACAGCTCATATATACACATATTATAATAAAATAGCATTAAATATAAATAAATGTTAAATATATAATTCAGAATAGAAATAATGATCTTCTGCTTTAAGTTGAAATCTATAGATTTAGCAAATTTATGAAAATTAACAGATAATTGCAAATTTTTAAAAAAATGTGTGTTTTATATATTGGCCAAAATTAAAAAAAATTTCCATTTGCTATTCATTAACAATTCAGACTAAATTCAAAATCGGTCGAAAATTAGCCATTATATTTATGATCGATTTATGGTAAAGCTAAAAATTAATTCAAATTAATCCAATAAGACAATGCAAAAATTGCTGATTGGATAAATTATCTCAAGGATACAATAGTAATCAATTATTTTAAATGGAATGATATAATCATTGTCCAAAAAGGATAATTCAATATCATTCTAATTAGATGATATAAAATCGATAGAAATGATTAAAAAATCATCCTATAAAGATGATAGACTAACATTTTTAAAAATCGTTCCTTTAGGACAATACATTATTATTTTTATTGAATAATTTTGAAAAATTATCCCTTTGGGATGATAAATTATCATTCTTATTGAACAATTTAAAAATTATCCTAAAGGAATACTAAATCTATCATTTATTAAGAACAATAAAAAAATTATTCCAAAAGGATAATAAATTATCGTTCTTATTGAACAATTAAAAAAATCATTCCAAATAGACAATGAATCATCATTCTTATTAAACAATCAAAAAAATTATTCCAAAGGAATGATAAATTATTGTTCAATAAGAACAATCAAAATAAATTATTCTAAAGGGATGATAAATCATTATTCTTATTAAATGATTTAAAAATTATTTTAAAAGAATGATAAATAAATCGTTCATTAAGAATAATTAAAAAAATTGTCTTAATAAGATGATAGATCAATCATTCTTATTAAACAATTAATAAAATCATCCCAAAAGAATGATAAATCAATCATTTATTAAAAATGATTAAATAAATAGTTCCAATAGGATGATAGATCAATTATTTATTAAGAACGATTAAAAATCATACATTTAGAATAAGCAATCATCGTTCTTATTGAACTATTTAAAAAATCATCCTAAAGTGATGATAAATCTATCATTCATTAAGAATAATAAAATATCATTCTTCTTAGAATGTTGATTATTCTATAAGAATGATAAAATATTGTTCCTTTTGAAATAATGATCATTCTATTAGAATAATAAAATATCATTCCTTTTGAAACAATGATCGTTCTATAAAAACTATAAAAAAATTGTTCCTTTTGAAATAATGATTATTCTATAAGAATAATAAAAAAATTATTTTTAAAATGATTATTATTCGATTTGAATGATTTAACATCATTCTAATCAAATGATGCAAAATCATCTGATTGAAACGATCAAACTATCATCTCTTTAGGATAATATATTATTGTTCAAATCAACATTATCATTTTAATCAGATGATAAAAAGTCATTTGATTGAAATGATCAAATCATCATCCCCTAAAGGACAATACAAATCATTCAATAGAAATGATATTTCAATTGGATATTATAAAAATTATCAAATTGGTTAGAACAATTATAAATAAATTTCAGATTAATCTAAAACTTTCAAATTAATCTGAAAAAATATTTTCCTTTTTTCTAATCTTTTCTTTTCTTTTTTCGGTATATCTTGAAGATTTTTACCATTTTTTTTAGAAAATTTCTCATTTCAGAAATGAGGTAAATCATTCTTTATATAAAAATTTATTATTTTCTTATTTTTTCTTGTTTTTTTTTTTGTAGGAAAATTCTCATTTGAAAATAAGATAAGTAAATCAGAAACAAGTTTTTAGGTAGATTTTCTTTTTTTTGTAAAAAAATTTTCATTTGGAAATAAGATAAATAAATCAGAAGTAAGTTTTTGGGCAAATTTTTTTTCTTTTTCTTTTTTTTAAGAAATTTCTCATTTTGAAAATAAGAAATGTAAATCAAGTGACTTTTAAGTGAATTTTCTCTTCTTTTTTTTTTAGAAAAATTATCATTTTAAAATTAAGGTAAGCAAATTGTTAGTGATTTTTTTGTAAAAATTTACTATTTCCTTTTTTTTTTCTTATTTTTTTAGGAATATACTATAATCAGTCAATTGAAGATAAAATTCATTTCTTTATTTTACTTTATTTTTATATTTATTGAAAGTGTTTCTTTTAAGGAATATAAATTTACAAATTGTAAA